AATGGCGGGTGAGAGGCTATTCTGCTTCGTCAGGAAATCCGGAAACGGTAAGATCACAAGGCCACAGGAACAAAGACATCGCCGACGCACCTCAGACGAAACTGTAAGACGCAGGGAGAGGAAGGCAGGAACTCAGACTCGAAGTGTTTACAAGGTCTAGTTGCCCAAGACACGAGGGAGAGGTGGAGCCCCTGGCGACGACTCGACACAGACAGGATATAAAAAAAATGATAACAAGGGTGATGGCAATGATGATAACACTGCACAAATGATGAATAAAGATGGTAATAATAATAATGATAACAACACAAAACGGATGGATAATGATAGTAATGATAATGAGGATAACCGCACACACACACGAAAAAAATATAGTAATAATGATAATGATAATAGCCCAAAAATAATGGGTAATGATAGTAATGATAACAACAATAGTATCAGTACTACTAATAAGAATAAGAATAAGATAAGCAAAGTAAGAACAAAGAGAAGAATAGAAAGCATAACAACAATGATAATTACACCAACAATAACAACAACAAAAAAATACAAAAATGAAACGGATGATAATACTGTAGAACATGCCCTCACAACAACGAGAGAGAGAGAGAGAGCGCGATAAAGAGAGAGAGGGAAAGAAAGTGGGAGAGAGAGGAAGAGACAGTAGGGGGGGGGGGAGATAAGGGCAATGGCTTTATTTCCCTGGAGGAGGCCGTGCCGCCGACTCTGGCACTATAAGGGAGCCACGAGGAGCCAGTGCCAGCCGCGGATGGCACTCTGAGCTTCCCTTTTGGCACCCCTGTGGCCTTTTACGACTCGTAGCATGAGGGTCGGCCTGGGGTGGGGGTGGGGGGAGGAGGAAAGTGGGGAGGAGGGTGAGGGAGGGAGGAGGGAGGGGTCAGGGAAGGGGGGGAGAGGAAGGGAGACGGGGGAGGGGAAGAAGGAGGGGGGAGGGGAAGAAGGAGGGAGGAGGAGAAGAAGGAGGGGGGAGGGGAAGAAGGAGGGAGGAGGAGAAGAAGGAGGGGGGAGGGGAAACAGACAGAGGGAGAGGGAGAGAGAGAGAGGGGTAAGTGGTAAGGATGCGATCAAGAATAGCAGAGACACTGAATATTTTATTTGTTTATTATTGGTTCATTATTGTTATTGCCAATGTGGACTTTATTGCTGTTGATGTAGTTGTTATGGTCGTCATTGTTTTTGTTAGGAACATTTTCCCTTGTTATTTATTCTATTATTTTTCATTATCATTGATGTTATACAACACCATCATCATCACCAGCATTACCATCGCCAACAACACCATCATTATCAACACCAACATCACCACCATCACTGCCATACTATAATTAATATTACTAATCCTGTCAAATCATTATTGGCAATGCACACGCACTCACGCCTCAATGTACATATATAAGTAAATCTCATAAGTCCCGTGACATGAAATCCATTAGCTTAACGCCGACTTTCATTAGTGGAAACTGATTCATTTATAAAATTATGATCAGTTCAGATTTCATGGGGATTTGACTGTTATGCACGTGTTCTTTGGGGTGATTTTTGGATGCGGTCGTTGTTCAGGTACTCTTTCAGTATGTGTCTTTTCTTTTCTTTCTTTCTTTCTTTCTTATTTTGTCTTTTTCTTTCATTCTGTATTTTTTTCTTTTTTTTTTATTGTGTTTAGTTTTCTTTCCCGTCTTCTGATACATTTTTTTTCTTTATTTTCTTCTTTTGCAACTCCTTTTTATGTCTCATTCTCTGCCGGTTTCTTCAATTCTATCCTAATGATAATGATGGTAATAACAACAGCAATGAAGATACGGTCGAGAAGAATATGAACTATAATAAAGGAGATGACTGAGATAATGATAAGAATGTGCAATGATGACAATGATAACAGTAATAGTAGCAATAACCGTTGATAGTAGGCCTACTACAAACAACAACATTATAGCAATGATAGTAATAACAATAAGGATAATAATCCATTATCATAAAAGTAGCAATGTTAATGATTATGATATCATCGAAGTTTCTTTGAATTTTGTTCACTTCTGAGAATGTAATTTTCTTCCCCCTGCCAAGTTATGGAAGAGTTAAGGGCGAAATTCCGGCCAGTGGTGCCTTATTTACGACCGTGTTAGTAACCGGGGCCGATATCCAAGCAGCTGGTCGAGTCCACAGCTGGAAGAGAAAGAAGAGACAGGCAGATGGAACAAGAAAGAGCACGTGAGGCAGCTGGTTTGGTGAAGTCGAGGTGAGGAAAATGACTCGCTCTCCATCTTTCGCTCGGTCTCTCCTTCTCTCTTTCTCTCTGGTTCTCGTTCTTTCCTGTTCTTTTCTCTTCTGTTGATTATTTTTTGTTCTTTTTTTTCTGTATTCTCATTTTCTTTTCCCTCTCTTTCTTTCTCTGACACCCCTCTCTCTTTTTCTTTCTTTCTTTCTTTCTTTCTCTTTTTCGTTCTTTCTTTCTTTCTTCTTCTTTTCTTTCTTTCTTTCTTTCCCTCTCCCTCTTCCTCTCCCTCTCCCTCCTCCTCTCCTTCTCTCTCTCCCTCTCCCTCTCCCTCTCCCTCTCCCTCTCCCTCCTCCTCTCCCTCTCCCTCTCCCTCCTCCTCTCCTTCTCTCTCTCCCTCTCCCTCTCCCTCTCCCTCTCCCTCCTCCTCTCCTTCTCCCTCTCCCTCTCTCCCTAAGCTTCACTCACACATCCTTTCCCTCTTTCTTATTCATAATCTTAAACAACGTATATTGCATATCACAGTATTTCTGTACAGCACTATAATCCCTCCGACCTACTTTGCAACCAGGAATTAATCACTTTCTCTCATTCGCTCTAACGAAATCGCAAAGGATAATCTATTTCACTCGTCCGCCTTTTAATTAACGTAAGTAGAAATATCTAAATCTTTGTCAGCGTCCATTCTCCATGTTTGTCCCTCGCTGTTCATTTGTTTTGCCTGTTGATTGCGCTCGCTCGTCTGCTCTCGACGGTCTTTCGGTCCTTCTGCTTCTTGACTGCTTGTGCTTGCTTGCGTCCTTCGTTGAGTAGGGGGGGGGAGGGCGTTGGGGAGATTGAATTTTAAAGGGATGGGTTAAGGTGAGGAAGAACAGGAAGGGGGGAGGGAGAGGAAAAGATGATGATAGTGACGGAGAAGATGAAGATGATGAAAGAAAAGAAGAGAAAGGGGGCGAGAGAGAAAGAATGAAAAAGAAAGAAAAAAAAAGAAATAGATAGAGATATAGAGAGAGAGAGAGAGAGAGAGAGCGAGAGGGAGAGAGGGAGAGAGAGAGACAGAGAGAGAGAGAGAGAGAGAGAGAGAGAGAGAGAGAGAGAGAGAGAGAGAGAGAGAGAGAGAGAGAGAGAGAGAGAGAGAGTTTATACAAATGTGCGTTCGTGTGTATCTGTGTATTTGTGTACATATGTATGTACGCATACATGTGCGCATACAAGCGTGTAAGCAACTGCGTACGATCACGTCCGCTGGCGAATTTCTCCGGAAAGCCGAGACAGCTGCGTCTCCGGCCGCCGCTTAAGGGACCGCTGACTATGAATTAGGATCCGCGTCGAGGCCCACAGGGATCCCCAGGAACTACTTAAGGCCTCTTGATTACGCGCCTCATTTCCCCCCAAACTTTCTTATCCTTTCTGAGGGCGTCGGGAAGCAAGCATCTTTTTACTGTGGGCGGAATTTTGCTGTGGGCGATGCTTAGTCTGTGTTGTTTGTTGGATGTGCATGCACGAAAGTATTTGACGATGTATGGTTTTGTGTTTGTGCATCTGTGTGTGTGTGTGTGTGTGTGTGTGTGTGTGTGTGTGTGTGTGTGTGTGTGTGTGTGTGTGTGTGTGTGTGTGTGTGTGTGTGTGTGTGTGTGTGTGTGTGTGTGTGTGTGTGTGTGTGTGTGTGTGTGTGAGCGTTTGTGTGTGTGTTAGTGCGTGTGTATGTGCGTGTACGT